ACTTCTGAAACCTTATTCTTAGAGAATGTACATAAGATGAGTTTACTTGCCTGTTGTTGCCAATATTCTATATAGATCAGATTTTACTTCCGAATTTGTCTTAGACAAAACCATTTTCTTTCAAAATTAAATGAACAAAAAAATTGTAAATAGAGGGAAGAATCTATGTAGTTGAAGAATGTTTGCAATTAGAAGAAGAATGTATGCATCTCTTTTGTGACGTGAAATGGAAGCAACCCTTGTCTTGGTAATGTATTTTTTTATTAGCAGAGATTGAGAAGTTAATGTGTTTTTCTTATTAATAAAGTTATTAGAAAAAAAATCGGTTAGTAAGTTGTTTGGATTGTTTCTTTTCATTTTATTCATGCCACCTTTTGATAACTTGAACACATCTAATTGGCAAAAAAATCATTGAAGTAGTGTTCATAAAGATATGTAATTTCAGCAAAAATGCAATTCCACTTTCAGAAACATTTTTCTGTAGTACTCCATTTGAACCTTAAAATTGCATAATTAGTAGGACATTGTAAAACTATTTACAATCCTAACCATTGTTTCATGTCATCAATTAACAATAATATATACATAATAAACAAAATATACCGCAATTTTTCATTAGTTTTAATTTAAGCTTAACTGAATAATTAAAAAGTATAAATATTGCTTATGTTTTATTCAAATTTTACTTCTATCATAATATATTTACTTTTCAAAGAATTTATCGAAATTTAGTCGTTACTATTTTCATTTGTGAATTTCTTCCACGACTCAACCACGATTTGATTCTCTAAAGACGGACACTAGATAATGCTCGTGGGGTCACAAAAAGGGAATAGAGGTATGCAAGAATGTCCATATTTCTTTTTGTTTTCTATAACGAATTTTAACTATGCTTTAAATTTGGATCACGTTGGCCGGCCCTGAGATTTAGGGGGTCCTAAACCAAAAATAATAATTTTAGGGGGTTTATAGATAGATTTTTAATTTTGGAATCTTTTCATAAAAGAAAAAAAATTCCGAGGGCCTATTTTTAATTCTAAAAACTCACAAAATTTTGGGGTCCCAAGACCTATGCCTCTTGGGCCTATGCTCAGCGCCGGCCCTACGTCGAGCCAAACACGAAATATGTTTTGAAAGTTAGCTTGGCTTTAACGCAATACGAAGTGACAACATCGAAATGAACCCATGGCATCAAGACATCCCAACTCTCGATGGTTTGGATGGTTCACTCAATCAAGAAGCAACTATTGTTTTGGCATGTTGAAGAGATAGAGTAACTACGAAGTGACTACATCAGAATGAACCCATGACAATAAGACAGGTCAACGGTTCGATGTCAAAGGAATCACTCTTTCTTTCTTAGACCGATATAGAAGTCACGTTTGAGATAAGAAGTCTCGAGATAGCCGATGCGACTTTGGAGAAGCTTAGAAAGCAAAAACCAACGCAGGTTTTTTAAGACAGGAGTTAAAAGAATCTAAAGCGGTGTCAGCAATGTTTAAACGCAATTTCGAAGAAGCTCAATCCAAGTTACTAGAAGTTGAAGCCAAGTCAAAAGCCAAGTTAAAAGATTAGCTTGTACTTCAAGAATCAAAGCTTTACTTACTCTGACTTCTGAAACATTATTCGTAGAGAGTGTACATAAGATGATTCTACTTGTTTGTTTCCTCTGTATAGGTCAGATTTTACTTCTTGATTCCGAAGGTGTTTTAGAAAAAACCATTTTCTTTCAAAATCCACTTACCAAAAGTTGTTTTTATTTGTTTGTGTGGTTTAAAATGAACAAAAAAATGTAAATAGAGGGAAGAAACTAACAAGAATTTGGTAAGACAATAACCTTTTCGTTGTTGTTAAATACATTCTACTATAAGGCAAGACAGTATCCTTTTCGTTGACGAAAAGATCAGAAACATCAATTTGGTATATTAGTTTTGTTGTAATTAAATGTATTTGACTAGATAAACACATAACTAGATGCCATGAAAAAAATTTATGATAGTCATCAGGGCCGGTCCAAAAATTTTGGGGGTCCGAAGCAAAAACTAATAAAAATTTGGATTTTTGTACTTATTTAAAAAAAACAAGACTAAAACATAAAAAATTTAAATTATGGGGGCCTTTTTTGTAAAAGAAAAAAATTATGGGCCATTTGTTGATAAACTATTTTTTTTCTGGGGACCCAAAGCCCATGCCTCTTTGGCCTCCCCTCAGGTCCGGCCCTGATAGTCATAAATTTATTAGGAAAAAAAAGAGTTTTTAGTATATTATTAGTTAGAGTAACACCTAGAAAACATTATTGCCTTATTCAATTAAGATTAATCATCAATCCGCATACATAAATTTTTATAGGATTAGAAAATGCATTTGTTTATTAAGGAAACAAATCAATTAGCATTAATTAGGTTAGATGTAACCGTTGAAGCAGAAAAACGTCTAAGCACACCTACAAACATATAAATAGACACGTCTACGATTACATTTTACAACTACTAGAGTTACGTAAAAGGAAAAA